ATTGGTCTGTCGATACAGAACGAAAGCAACATTTTTTGTAGTAATGCCTCCACATTAGCTGCTTAGCTGTCTGTTTATTTGCCGATTTCCCTTTAATCGAACGATTTATTTTACGATTTTAGTTGTCTTTTGATGCATAATTGTGTGTAATTATGTCGAGCGTAGTTAGTGATAAAAAATAGCAAACAATTCAGACTATGCTAACTAAAAACAAAAAACAAATTTACTGATAAGTATAAAAATATTAACATATAAAAACTATTCATGTGGAAAACAAAACAGAGATATATTATTTGGAATAAAAAGAATTTTATTAAAGTAAAGGAAAATAATGAGTTTTAGAAATATCTATTTAAGTTGCTCCCTTCGTTTAAATGTTTGTTTTTTATTTATTTTTTTATAAAATTAATAAAAAGGAGTAATAAATTATGATGTACTCAGGTCAGCATCACAGTTTTATCAGTAGCAAATTTGTCCAATAAAGTGTTATTTCAAGTGCATGTGGTCATAGGGAAAGTTAAATAACGAAGAATACTTTTTTTTACTATAAACTATAAACAATAATGAAATTCAGTGTATACATATTTGGATATTATAAAAACGTTTATAATAAATGTTAATAAACAAAGAAATAAGTATTAAATAGTACACAACACATTATAAAAAACTGGCGAGAACCATAAAACTCAATTTATGTTTGATTTAATCTTCATACTGATTGCATGTAACCTACTGAGGGTTGCTTTCGCTGTACAGCAAAAATAAAACGCTCTCTCAACGGTATAAATAAACTAATTTATTGAAAACTAAGTTTGTGAAAAAGACGTGTTGTCGACTGTTTGCTAGAGTGTCCCCGTGTTTGGAGTCGGTCGTAGGTATATGAGTAAGCATCTGGTCGCCGGCGCCAGTCCGCCGTAAATCCTTCCTGGAACGCTGATGCGTCCGGCGGCGTTCTGCTGGCGCTCTTAACGTAATGCTTAAAAATGGGTCACTTGTGAAATGTGTGCCCACACACCCCCCTGCCAGTATGAATGCCATCACGGTACCTGCAGCCGGTCAGGGAAACAAACCCTTCTACGGGACCTAGTGGTAATTGCCTTGGGTGTGGTTGGCACGAATAATGGGGCAGAAGTAGATGGAAGGCTATTGTCCTCGTCCCTAGTAGCTGTCGCGTCATTCAGACAATACGCAGATTTGACTCTGTCTATGGACATTTTAACTTCGCGACCACGCGCTAACACCGTGAATGTTTTGTCGTCGCGTTTGATCACTGTAAACGGACCATCATATGGGTTCTGTAGTTGAGTTTTAACGCCGTCTGCACAAAAACATGTGTCGCTGTTGCCAAGTCTTTAGAAACGAATGGCGTCTTCTCGCCATGGCGTTTAACTGTGGCTGGACGTAAGCTTTCCATATGACGTCTGAGGTCCTTAGCAAAATTCGCTTCGGTGCTGAGCTCTTCGTTTGTCCGCCGTAGACCCTTCCTGGAACGTTGGTGCGTCCGGCGGCGTCCTGCTGGCGCTCTTGACATAATACTTAAAAATGGATCACTTGCGGCATGTGTACCCACACTACCATTTAATATAATAAATAATAAAGCATTTCTTTCCTACTGGTACAAATACAACCCCGAGTGGAATTACCATGTTGGACCAGCTTGGATATAGATTATCAAATATTACATCAGTAGATGTCGAACGGTCGTTCTCTTCAAATTAAGATATTTTATCACCGCCGCGAATAAGTTTCGCTGAAACAAAGGTAGAAACATACCTGATGCGATCTATAACGGATCCCTTCCAGATTGTGGAACCGATGGCAACGATGCGTTATTTACGTGTTTCACAATGATACAGCGACATAAATCTTATAAGCATTGTTAACTTTATTTTATGCGCCTTTGGTGCGCGGCCAATTATAACAACTTTATTGATAAGAATGGGCGTTGACTATTTTTGCATCAATTTTGACATGAATTTTGCTTCTCTTTCAAATTTAACAAATTAACCTATTAATTTTTTTAAACATCAATTTTTGCGTTTATTTCAAAGCAGCATTATAATATTTTTCATGTTATCCAATAAAAAATTAACAATTCGTATTCTGTTGAAGAGCCTTTCTCAATTTTACATCTGGTTTTGTGGTCGAACAAATTTAGGAAGTATACACTGCATCATAAAATTTTGTTTGAATAAATTGACGAATGAATTCATTAATAAACTGTCAAAATATAACTATTATGATACGAAATGCATATACATCAAATTCGATCCTATACTTCTTTTGTGAAATTTTTGGATTTCTTGGGATGATATAATCATGTTTTTTTTTTGAGAGTATTAATAATTGTATACACCGAAGTATTAATGTAGTTATTCTTAGCATCGAATATTCAGCCCACAAACTAAACGTGTCTACACTTAAACGCATTATACTCGTATATCATATTATATGTGCGCTGTATAAATAATTTCTTGAATAATAGGAATACATATTTCTTTACTATTAACGTTGTATAGTAGTCGGTATAATGGCTACACATAATATAATGTTGTCGTTGTTTGTGTTATTGTTGATGTTGATGTTGTTATATGCCAAATTAGCCTTTGTTGACCCTCTTATGATGCTGAGGGAAGATGAAAGTAGCTCGAGTTCACCGAAAGCTAACCAAACAGAGCAAAATTCGCATCCTGGCACCCAACGTGGGACCGTGACAGAAGAAAGAAGACCAACCCATGTAAATCCTCAACATGGCGCCCTACGTGGGGCTATTTTTTCAAGCAAACATGAGACCTACGAGATTCTACGACAGTTTCTAAAAGGCAAATTACTGACTATTTATACTAATAGAACAGCAATCACTTACCTTCAACGACCTTTCCATACCATGAAATTTAATTTATAAACGACTTATACTGCCAAAACTGCATCACTTTCGAATGATACGGAATTCGATTACATCCCTAATAGCTGTGTGCACGAAGCGTAACGGCGACTACGCGTACGTAAGTACATTCTGATTAATTAGGTGCTTATTCCCTTCACCGGGTAGGCTTCACTTTGATTGCATCGTGTCGCATATTATCAGCAATTTAATATCGAATATGTTTGCGAAAGAATATTAATTTAATTTTTAATGTTTAAAAGTACAGGATATGTATTAAATTACAATTTAATTTCTGCTATAATACACTCAAGAATATAATTAGTGCATTCGCTGGAATTTTGGGTGAAGTTCATTTATTGAGTGATACATAAATTTAAAAAACTTGACCTAACTTAACCTCCAATTGATTTATTGAACATTATATGTTATAAATAATGAAGATTAGGTTTGGTTAAATTGAGGTGGTTTTTTTTAGTTATATGCAACTGAGATGCCTGTACTTCATTTCGATTTTGTTCCCCGTAAATTAAAATTACAAAGTTCACATCCACTAAATATGTCAAAGGGTTTATTAAAACACTAAAAATAACCTCAACGAACTTACACTATCGCCTAAATTAATTAACCCAACAAAAACCAAAAACTAAAAACAAAGACTACCTATTATTAAAATGTTACATGCGACGGCCATTAGAATAAATCGACTTCAAGCACTATTATCATAAAACTTATTACTTTCAAAGACACCCCGTAGAGCAGTCTGTGCTGAACAGAAAAAAAAACAGATAATTCTACAACTATAAAAAAATCGTATTACTTCGGATGAATGCTACACACTTTATTTCCGTATCCCCATTTCATTCTTTTATACTAAATTATAGGCGAAATGTAATTCAATCAACTAACTCTAACGAGCAATTGGATTTCGAAATTACTTCCCCGCATGTCGATTTTGTTTGTATATTTACATGTCGTGTTCATTATTTGTTGATTACACAGCAAAATAATATAGGTAAATTAATACAGACGAACAAGCAAAAAATTAGTGGCAAGCAATTTCATTTTCTCTGCGATTGAAGGATAAAAATGTCTTAGCAATTAATATATTGTGAATTTATCCCGCATGCTTCCTTTCGTTTATGTGCTATTATATTCAGCGATAAATAGAATTTTATGGCACCTATTTTATATCAGCAAATTCAACGGTTTCTGCCGCTATTGTTATTATTAATCAATAAAATTAATTTGATGTTACAATAACTGTTCAAAATTTTGTTCACCGACGTTTAAACACATCTGGGTCTGTCTTACTCAGTTTCTACGAACTGACACAAATGATGTCATGTTTCATCAACACAAATGCTTTACCATAATGCAAATGTTGTCTTGCTTCACCATAAATTAAGACGATATCCATCAACAAGTTGCATGCTATACACGCACGCCATTTTTGACACACTACTAAAAAACTATTGTAAACATTATCGCAACGGCGATTGTAAAATCAGATTTCAGTATTCGGAGTCGCTAAGGTTCTGAGAAGATTAGTATTTTGATTTTAAAATATTATACTGATTAATAAATTTAGATACTTAATCTTGAGAAGGAAAAGACAAAAAGTTTATATATGGCGGATACAAGATGACCTACCAAATTTTCAAAAAATAACACATTCGCGCCAAATTTGGTGTACGGGGGTTTTCGGAGTCGCTGATCACAAATCCGAGGTCAAATTTGCAAAATTCGTTTTTAAAAATTTAATCAATTACTTATGTAGGTACTTATTACCTGAGATTAGGCAGAAAACCCGTCAATAGATCTTTTACAGAAAAAAGAACAAGATATAGCCGAAAAAAGAAGGTTAAAACATGATTGGGTACTTCGGTTGAAAAGTAAACAAAAATATTACTGTAAAATAGATGTTATTTTTGGTATTGTTACCTTATATGCATGGGTCATCACAAAGCAGTTATCTCGACAACAGTCGGCAATTCTGTTTTGTTCTCAGATAAACTCATATTTGGTTAAATTGGATGACGTAACTGGCTCTGACTTTGTTATTAATGTCAAGGTCAGATTATTGGGCAAAACAAAATCTATTTTGTTTTCACAATCAGACATTCGCATCAGATCGGTGTTAGTGAACGTTCTATTAAATCGCATTTAATTCTGCTTACCCAGGCGACAGTTTCTTAACAAAATGTTGAGGAGCGGGATAAAACTTCATAAGATTGGTGTAAAGTTTATTTCCACCAACCCTTCTAAAAGAACTTCGGAGGCCATAAGTATTTCTAAGAAAGACGACTATTACAAGAATCTAGGCGACTCCGGGGAAAAAGATCTCCTGAAACCACCAAGATGGCATGAAGCTCTGCCGTACGACTCCATTCCAGGACCTAAACCTCTTCCGCTTATTGGGAAAATGTGGAGGTTCATGCCGTACATAGGCCAGTTCAGCAACATGCCTCAAAAAGATATTTATCAAACGTGAGTTACTTATATACTTATTTATTTCTGAAACACCCTGTAGACAGGGTGTTGGTAAATAAGTGCGAAATATTTTAGGGGATGTTTGCCGAAGTTATTTTGTGAAAAAAAGTTTATATAAACGTAGGTCGAAATATGCTTCTTTTCCGAGACACAGTGTTTAAATTTTAATTGTTTACTTATTTTTATTAATTACTTCAAAGAGTTTTAATGATATTGAGTCGAAATTTTGTCGATGGTGGTATTTTATTTACAAATATTAACAGCAACCTACTAGATAATGTATCAATAAAATTAAAAATACACAACTTGCATTAAAATAGGTTTTATTTTTTTTTCCTCAAAAAAATTCCAATGCAATTTGTAAATTGTCTAATGGAAATAAAGAAATTGAAATTGAAATTGAAGTATGTATATGTATTTAGAAAAATATACTGTTAGGTGATTTTTTTTTTATATAATAAACTAACAAACTCGTTTCATAATTTTTTACTCTCTAAAACCCCATATTTTGGAAATTAGACTAAATTAATCGTATTCCAAAGAGAAAATGCGTCTTTCATTTTATTTGAAAAAAGAGCCATTTTGGAATTATTTTCTTTGAATTTAAAGTAATCTTTCAAGTAGTAAATAAATAAATTTAAAATACATACTTCCGAAACTATACATATCGTAAAAATAGTTTGAAATTTGCAACAGAATTTTAAGTAGTGTTGCAGTCAAAATTAAAAAGAACCCTCGATATCCTAACATAATTTAAAACTTTTGTAAAAAGATTTCCTCGAACAATACTTGATGTATTTAAATCAAATGAACAGCTTTAGTTTAGCTAATTTAGATTTAATTAAATCTGTGTTTTTTAAATTATAAAAATAACTACATAGAAAATAACAAATATTAGATACCTTTTTATCTTAAGAATAAAATTGTCAATTAAACGCACTAGATCACTAGAACTTTCAAAATACTTAAAATTAGTGGCACGAAAATTCTGGGATTATTTATGACACTAAACCTCATACATCGCCATTAGTTGTCATATTTGTAAATCAATTTAGCGAGTTTTTGTCTTTAATTAAGTAAATTGCAATAGAAAATTAAAGTATTGGTGTTATGAACAAAATCAGAATTTAAACAAAAATTCATTTATTTCGTTAAAAAGGACTAATAGATTATGATTTACTATTGCTTAGTGGTTACACTTTTTGTTATATTTAATCATACTACATCTACCTATTTTTAATACAATGTTTTCCCCAGATTAAAAAATGAGTATGGCAACATTGTTATGCTTAAAGGAATACCTGGAAGGAATCCCATGGTTTTAGTCTTTGATGTTAATGACATGGAAACTGTAAGTAACATAATGATGTTGTTCAACAAAATCAATTCTAAAGAGTTACAGATAACTTTTTCAAGTATCTTATATCCTTATCTACTCAGATATTATAAGTATTATAGTAATTTTTACCGTTCCATACAAAAATTTTAAAATGCTTATTATTCATTATTTAGTTACAAAAAATAAATAAAAAATATAAATAATTCGAAAATACAGAATTTTTTTGTAATAAGTTCCTTATCTGCTATACAGGGTGTCCCTGAAAAGGATGGACAACGCTTGACCACAGGTTCCTTGGATGAAAATAAGACTATTATCCTAACTTTCCTATATACAAAAATGCACGCCTACTGTGATAAACATATACATATACTTCTAAACATAGAACAGATAACCTAATTTTATTCAAATATGTAATTTGAAAACTGTTTTTCTTAGAAACTTCAAATTTGATATATTGTTGCCTCTTACAAAATTTTGATATCGTTTATGGATTTCGAGTAAAATTGGCCTTTTTTACACATTAAATAATATAAAATTAGTTTAAGATAAATAGAATAGTCTAGTACGAGGTGCCATATAACAAAGAAACAAATTCATAACAATAATTAAAAGGTTCAGTGTCAAGCTAGCTGCGATTTAATTTTAGGTTACTTTGTTTTTTATTGCAATTTATACTTTTGCTGAACAAACTGATGTTATTAGTTTTGGGTTATTGTGGCGGAAATTGTGCTACTTTTCGAACATATGCTGAATTTTCCTAATCGAAGAATTCCAAATCACAACTTTTAACTGTAACATTAAATCGTGGATAATGTACGGCCGGAACTATTCAGCTGGAGGAACAAAGGGTCGAAGAAATTCATCAAGTAATTAAAAGACGTTTAGCGGCAGAAGTTGGCTTTCAAAAAGTTCCGTTAATAGAGTATTAAAAGACTAGTTATTACAGGTTACTATACTAACAGGTGGATAGGTATAGGAAATAATGCCCCTTTAAAATGGCCATCTCGATGCCTGGACCTAAACCCATGTAATTATTTCCTTTGGGGAGCGTTGCGGACCACAGTTTATAACTTTTCAGTAAATACAGAAAACGAATAATGGGAAAGAAAACAACATGAAATTAGTGTTATGAGAGGTAATGCACAATTATTGGATAAAATTCATTTTCATTTTCGAAGAACTAATGCTTGCGTTTAAGAACAAGGAAGTAACTTTGAGCATTTACTGTAATATTATTTTAATGTGATTACAAATATCAATTTAGGTTTATTTAAAATGTTAATGTTGACTTTCTTATATTATTAGTTGATACTGTTTATTTAAAATATTAGTGTTGATTTTTATTTTATTGATTGATAATACTAATACTAAAAATGTGCAGTTATTTTTTTTTAATGTGACGTTTTATCATTATTATTCCCTGTTTTGAGGCTGCAGTTATAAATTATTTTTTACAAATCGGAATTTTTGTCTATATTTAATGTATAAAAAATGCCAGTTTTACTCGAAATCCATAAACGATATCAAAATTTTGTAAGGGCAAAAAATCTGCTAAATTAATGCTTATTTTTAAAAATATAAATTATGTCGTCATAGGCGCACACACAAAAAAGTTACGGGATAGCCAGTGGCGCACAGGCACTAGAAAAAGAAAGTCCTGTATATGTATTCTCACCAAATTCTATATTTACATAAAAAAATAAGTGTATCAAATTTAAAGTTTCTAAGAAAAATAGTTTTCAAATTATTTGAAAAAAACTAGGTTATCTATTCTATATTTAGAAGGCTATACCTCAGTAGGCGTGCACTTTTGTATTTAGGTAAGTTAGGCTAAATAGTCTTATTTTCATCCAAGGAACCTGTGGTCAAGCGTTGTCCATCCTTTTCAGGGACTCCCTGTGTATTATCCGATATATGTATACTATTATATTATTGATATGGCCGTACGTATTCTCAGGCTCTCAGAAATGAAGGAGCATTTCCCATAAGAACAATTCTTGCAGATTCTCTAGGATATTATCGTATGGTAGTAAGAAAAGATGTTTTTGGTGAAGTTGGAGGAGTTATAAGTGTGTAAGTTGTATGGACATTTCTTTTTACTTCAAAATAAGAAGATATAAAATTACGGTCTGTCTAAACGGACAATCGTGGAATTTAAACAAAACGTTGTGGTGGCGGTTTCCATATACGGTTATTTCGCCCATGACAAACACTTCATCATAAATATACAACAGTAAAGAAAAATTCAATGTATTACCACAGACCGCTACTGGAATAAGCCAGCAGCTTTAAATTACCGAATTGCCGATAGAGTACACCACCAGCAGAATTTTAGGAAGAATCAAATGCAGCGGCCCGAATTGCTACGCTTATCCTAGCAACATATAAACAGCGCTTTGGTAATGTTGCCAGACGTACTTACGGATTTCTTTTGTACACTTCTTTATCAATATCTGTTTTTTGCGTTACTGTATTTACTTAAATGTACAGGGTAGCCCATCGAAAACGTACCGCAAGGCCTTACAGGGTAGTAAAGAATTTTTCGGCAAAATACAAAAACAGGTCAAATTTGTTTCTGAGGGGGCTCAAAAAGCATACCAAAATATTCAACCCCCTAAATGGTGCTATCCCCTAAATCTTTTCAAATGGGAATGGAGGTCAAGTGGGGGGTCATTAGAAAGGGCTTTTAATTCTCTATACATCGATTCTTACTTTTTGAAAATCGATTCATTATTTTAGAAAATATGCAGCTTTGAAAATACGAACAATATTTTTGACGAGAAATGCGAAAATCGATTTAATTTTACTTCAAAACTTACGGTATTAGCTTGGTAAATTCCTTCAAAAGAATTCGCTGTTTTTTTTTCTGATTTGCGAATTCTTTAGCCTGATTTTGGTGAGCAAAAAATTGTCCGCTTTTTGTTTCGTATTTAGATAGGCCACAAGAAGTTGCTAGATAACTGTCTTGTGACTTGTAGTTGAAGAGTACCAATACTGCCGAGTCTTTTAAATTGATTAATTATGGTGTACTCAATTCCAGAAAGAGTAGAAATTATTGAGCTTTTTTTCAAAAACAATGAATGCGGAAATCGGGTCGCCGAACTGTTCAACCAACGGCATCCTGAGAAACATGCGTCTGGAAAAATTGTTCGCGAATTGGTGGCCAAATTTCGCGAAACTGGCTCCGTTCATAACAAAAAGAGGCAGGTTGAAAATCCGGTACTAAATGAACCTACGGAAATAGCGGTATTGGGGCAAGTGGCAATGGATAGTACGCTGAGTACAATGCAATTGGCTACTGCGACAGGAGTGAGTCGTACAAGTGTCCAACGAATATTAAAAAAATACAAATTCCATCCTTATAAGATTCGGCTAGTGCAAGAGCTAAATGAAGACGATTTTGATCGTCGTTTGCAATTTTGCGAAATAATGACTGAACGAGCGATAAACGATAATTTCCTCTTTAATGTGTGTTTTTCGGACGAGTGTACGTTCTTCTTGAATGGTTTAGTGAATCGCCATAATTGTCGTTACTGGGCTGATACCAATCCAAGGATTTTCCATGAGACACACTCCCAACACCCCCAGAAGTTGAATGTATGGGCAGGTATTTTTGGAAATTCCATTGTAGGTCCTTTTTTCCTTCCTGGAAATTTGACAGGCGATATGTACTTGGATTTACTACAAAATGTCATCGACCCAGCTCTAACAAATATCATAGAGGACGACCCTGCTTACAATGAACACGAACTGATTTTCCAGCAAGACGGAGCTCCTCCACATTACTCGCTCAATGTGCGCAATTACCTAAATGAGACGTTTCCAGGACGCTGGATAGGACGAAGAGGTGCAATTGAGTGGCCCCCTCGGTCACCCGACTTAAATCCTTTAGATTTCTTTCTCTGGGGGCACATTAAAAGCAAAGTTTACAGCACTCCACCTGATACCTTGGAAGATCTGCGAGGACGAATCATTAATGTATGTCGCGAAGTAACACCGCAAGTGCTCCAGAATGTTCGACAACGGTTTGAAGACAACCTGTATCATTGTATGCAAGTTGGCGGACAACATTTTCAGCATTTACTTGACTAATACCGTAAGTTTTGAAGTAAAATTAAATCGATTTTCGCATTTCTCGTCAAAAATATTGTTCGTATTTTCAAAGCTGCATATTTTCTAAAATAATGGATCGATTTTCAAAAAGTAAGAATCGATGTATAGAGAATTAAAAGCCCTTTCTAATGACCCCCCACTTGACCCCCATTCCCATTTAAAAAAATTTGGGGATAGCACCCCCACTTAGGGGGTTGAAGATTTTGGTATGCTTTGTGAGCCAAAAGTTGTCCCCCTCAGAAGCAAACTTTACCTGTTTTTGGATTTTGCCGAAAAGTTCATTACTACCCTGTAATGCCTTGCGGTACGTTTTCGATGTTCTACCCTGTATAATGTATGTATCGATAAAAATGTTTTTAAAGAATTAACGAATATCTATGTAGTTTCATATGATATTCTTCAGCAGTCTCACAGTTAGGTTATTTAATCATAATTTCGTTAATTAGCTACTATTTCCTTTTTTTGGTATTGAAATATTGCAGAAAATATATTTCCAAATAAACAAAATTCGTGATGATATTTTAAACAGCTTGTAATAAGTATAATTTTTTAAATATTTGATGATGATAAATCTATTTCATATTGGTGGGTTATTAGCACGTCGCGCGTCGGGGGAAGTACAGGTTTTTTTTGTATTTTGACATCCACTTATAAGTAGGTTTAATAATTAAAGATAGAAAAAAAAAATTAAATACAAATGTACGATTTTTTCTTTTATTTCTTTTGACATCAAATCATTTAAAAAAAATTAAAATTCAGTCTTTAAACAGTTACAGAATAAAAATAAAAAATATGATAAAATATGGTTATATTAAAAAATTTACTGTGAAACGTATTTTGTTATTTGTAAGATATAGTAATATACCTAAATCATCTATATCCTCAGCATGGTCAGAAATTAGCAAATCTTCCCAGAACTTTAATCTGTTCTTAGGAATAATCGGCACAGAAGATAAAACAACTCCTCTGTGTAACTCTAAGTTTTTGCAGCAGGTTTTGTTTTCTCTCCAAAGTTATTCTACAGTTTATTTTACGGCAATTAGGCTTTGACAACAGTACCTTTTTTATGCAAAATATGATTAATTTTCATATTTTCGGTTCAGAAAGTACAAAGAATTGCGTATAAAAAAAATTGTAAAATTTGCCCCATGGTCCCGCATTTTCTGACGCCCCTGTAGCTAATTTTGATTTTTATATTATGCCGATTATTAAGCATGTAAACAGTAATACAACCCCAGAATTTCGCAATTTAATATTAAACCCTATTGAAGTTATGCGTTAAAAACTGTTTCCTGAATTACCCCTTCAAGGGGCTGTATCTCCCTTAGGGACCGCTACTGACAAAAACTCTACTAAGGTTTTCATCATATTTCGACATGTTCCACATACTTTCCAACTTTGAGTACTTACTTATTTCGTTAATACCTTGTATATTACTAAAAATCTTAAAATAAAGGTGCCTGGCAAGAATTCGATATCACTGGGGACGTGGAATACATTGTTTTTAAATTTAATTTAAATGAAACTACTATTATATCTGACAGGTTAACTCAGAGGCGGACTGGCTAGATGAACAGGTCCGGGAAACATTCATCAAGCGGCCCGTTTTTTGAAAGTTTCAGAATTTATTTTATTTTAAATAGGCTCTTCGTGAATGATATTTGAAATATTTGAAAAAAGTTAGCCATAGATAATTTGATATTGTTTTAAAAATAATTAATCTCACAATTTGTTTGTAGACAAAAATTAAAATCTTAAATTAAAATAATTTAGATTTTTTTAAAATGGATAAGTAGTAGTTGGAAGGTATAAGAAGTTAAAGCATTATTCTTTTTAATAAATAAATAATCATTAAAATATATATTTTGTATCAATCGAAAATATTGTGTTGTAGAGCTAAGTATAATCTAAAAATTCAATTTAATATAAAAGGAGATTTTTTAAAAGTGTATTTATATGCTACTGATGCAAAGGGAAATACGTTTGTCAATATTTCTATTCCATTTAAAATTCTGTAACAACATATGATGCAGCTTTTACATGGCTCATGTTTCTTTTTATTTTTTCCTTTATCTTTCTGCTGAGTTTTATCAGTTTCATATTCTGTGATTCCTTCACTTTCACTTTCATCAAATTGACGTGTTTCATACTCATCCAATGGAGTTTGTACAAGTTTTTGTTCCACTGGTGTGCTAAACTTGTTAATTCATCTCTTAGTTTTTGAGGAGTTATTTCTGGTTCATATATGACCAATTTCTCACACAGTTTGTTAAAAACTGGAGCTTTTAATCCTTTCATGCGTATTGTATCTAAGTTTTTTGGATCCAAAAAGGCAATATCAACANTTTTTTTTGTGATTAAAGTATAATTCAAATATTATTTATTGTTTAAAATATAAGCAAATGAGAAATTAACTCATTATATTACTAATTTTCGTCATAGTTTGAAAATAATTGGTGTTTAAAAAATTTCAGAATATTTAAATAAATTTGTTTTTGATCTTTGATAAACCGTATATAAGTTTATGAACTTACCTTTGATACAATAGAAAAATAAAGTTGACAAGTAAAGGAAGTTTAAAGATAGATAGATAGATAGATAAAAGAACTATCGGACTGTTGAAAGACCAATAACGATAGGCATTTGAAACCACCCGTACAATTTTCTTGAATTCCTCGCTTGCATAAATAACTTTAAACACGTTTTAAAGTAGGCTGCCAATGAAGAAAACTATTGCAAACTTAGACCTGGTAAGTACTCGGAATACCAAAGGTATTTTTCAAAAAATTAGCCCGGATATCCCAAGTACATTTAGTGTAAATAACGGTTAACTTTGATCGGCTATAACTACGCAACTAATTGACCAATCGATCTGTTTTTTTTTTTAAAAGAAGCGTTTTTCCAAGAACTTTTAAAACCTGCTTTAAAAAATTTGGTTTGGTAGAATATTTATTCACAGTTATTCTAAATGCTCATAAGTACAAAAATTCGACCAATATCTAAACAAGCGCCAGAGCTCTCCTAATTGACGGATTCGAATTTTTCAATAATGTTTGAAAGCTTGAGAGCTCTTCTATATGTGATTAAATTTTCAAGTATCTAAGGGCTTTAGTTTTTGCTGTGCAAAATTTTGAAATTTTGCAAATTTTTTTTCAAAATCTGGATTGCAAAATTATTATGCAAAATCTATCGAACCGATTTTGATAAAATTTGGTGTGATAATTCTACATAACATGAAGTTTTCTTGACCCAATTTAAATACCCCAAAAAAATTCCCTAAAAAGCATTGTTTTTTAACCCCATTTTTGCGATTTTTTCGATTTTTACCAAAATAATCACGATTCATTCGATTTGTAACTAGTCCTGTTTTGTAAAAAATTTAATTACAAACATTTTTTTCCTCTTCCATTTTCGCCTAAAATCAACTCTTGAAAAGATACATAATTAAATAGGAAGAAAAATATGACATTTTTCGAATTTTTTTAACATATTGTGCCGCCAAAAGTTAAGCCCACGTTTTTTTTATGCGCATAGAAAAATGTTCATTTCTAGTGATATTTGAAAGCCAAACAGCCAAAAATCTCTGTGGATATACGATTCACCCAAACCAAAACAGATACCGCCTAGTCTATTTTTTCATTTTCACTTTTATCACATTGACGTGTTTCATACTCGTCCAATGGAGTTTGTACAAGTTTTTTCCACTGGTGTGCTAAACTTGTTAATGCATCTCTTAGTTTTTGGTGAGTTATTTCTGGTTCATATATGACCAATTTCTCACACAGTTTGTTAAAAACTGGAGCTTTTAAGCCTCAGATCACATGTAATTGTCGGCCAAGGTGAAGTCGACATTTCTTATTTTACTGCCCTAGGTGTGTAATATATACTTTTTTTTATTTCTTTCCAAATTTTTTCCTTGATTTTTTTTCGAATTTATTGCCCAAAATTTTTTCCAATTTTTGTTTTTCAAATTTTTTTTTTCAATTTTTTTTTCATATTTTTTTCATTTTTTTTTTTAATTTTTATTTCAAAAATATTTTTCATCCTTCTACAGCACGGACCGGCCCAAAATGTCCGCGGCCCATCGGGAAACCTCCCGAGTTCCCGCATAGCCAATCCGCCTCTGGGTTAACTAAGTCAAAAATACCCCTAGAAAATACAAGAATAGCTAATTGTTTATAGCTCGATCAAAAATATTTTTCAAAAAATAATCCTGTTCCAAAAAAATGTCAAAACAATTTGTGATGTTTAAAATGTACAAAGTAAGGAGTAAACTAAGTTAAATTGACACTGTTTTAGTCATGGAGAAAAGTGGTTTAAAGTCAGATCGGTAGTAAACCCAATCTTGATGCAGCCTAGGACAATTCAACAGTATTTAGGAAATATGGATAAAGTCGCTCATGAATTGGTTGATAATATTCGATATTTCTCGAAACAAAATGAAAAAAACGAAATGCCGGACGATTTCCAGGGCGAGTTATATAAGTGGGCATTGGAATCAGTTGGAGTGGTCGCACTCGACAGGCAATTAGGTACATAAGTAATGAGATTTAAATTTCGATGATAAGTAGGTATGACATTTTTGAGTCATAGGTTCAAGTGAATTCACTGAACTAGCAATTATTATTATTAATGTGACATATATCATATTTTTGATAGAGTACATACCTAGTGGGGTTTTCCACTGAGAACTTTAGATAAAAAAGTAACATAATAACTGATAAAATGGATCACTTATAATCACCATTTAAAGAGCCCTTTTCAAATAAAAAAGTTATTTGTTAATATCTGATAAGATTGTAAATAAATAGTTACGTCTACGATCGACATGATGCCATCGCTGATTGGTTGAATAGAACCTCCTGAAAAATTACACCAATCATAGGCGATGATGTTTTAATGTAATCTTAATCTTATTGTTTTAATTTTACTGAATAGGCAAGGAAACAGAGTTGGACGTGACTTTTTGTTTCGGCAAGCTGAATTTATCACTATAGATGCTAAATATTATGTACAATAACATATTAGTTTCTACAGTCATAAAAATGAGGGGAAGATTGTTTACAGGCTGGTTAATTGTATAATTTGTACGTAAATTCACATTTTTCGCTTATAACTTTTTCCGTTCATTTCCATGAGAAAACAGTAAAGTACTTTTTTTTTGTCTTCAAAAGACCTACAAAACTAGCCCTCGAGCGTCAAAAAATATATTAGATCAAAAGTTATAAACAGAAGAATTTTATTTATAACTATTGAATTAAACATTTATAAACTGCGTTATTATTACCAGAACATTTTCGCATCGCATCCTCTCATTCCTAATAACTCACGCGAAATCTGGAATCGGAATAGTTTACAAGTTATGGCCTTCATGCCCGAGCATCTTCCACAATCGCACTGATTTTTTTCATGATAGATTTCATAATAATACCACAGCTTATTATTAAGCTCTGATAATACATTGAAATCTATCATTTTTTTTTTAATTTCAAATTTGCAACCTGGAAAGTTTTTTTTATTTTTTAGCCTTAGTTGCAAAATGTATACGACGCACGCTCGTGATATAGTTATATATTATTACATATTTGGAAAGCTTATGAAAAGAGCTTTAAGTTGAAAAAAAAATCGTCAAGATTCGTTGAAAAACAACATACTGTCAAATATATTATTTTCAAGCGAATTTCGCTTTTTTAGCGGCAGGACTATGAATATTATCGTCATTTTCTGCGGACTCGCTGTCATTTACTTCCCCCACCCTTCCGCCGTTTCAAAGTTCGCCGAAAAATCAAGCGACCATCTGGCTTTTGACAATATTTCTTATATCTTCTTCTTTTTCTTTCTTATTTGTTAAACAATACGCCGTCAACTTTGACAGTGCATATAATAATAAATATCCCTTCAAAAAAACAAGGGTTACATCACTGTACTAATTAAAAAAAAACGTTTTACCTTTAATGTGCTATCAATTTACTTCCAACAATAGTTTCTGAATAAATCGTACCTTTCTATTATACTGTACTCCACATGTGGTCCAAATTTCTTAACAGCTTCAGTAACAATTAAAAAAATACATTATATTTCTTATAAAATTTTATTTCTCCTTTATGAAGCCTATACTATAAAATGTTTTGAAAAGTAAGATTTATTCAGAATCTGTGGAAGGATACTCTTTATCATCAGTTTTTTCAAATTTATTAGTGCTGTATTAATTACTTTTTGAAGGACTACTTCAAACTATTGGATGCATGTCATTCTTAGTAGTACCTATACGTCATATAAAATTTTAAAACAATGTATTAGTTCCCAAAATAAAACAAAGTTATTATTTTTTGTTGACTTGAACACCCTGTATCTCGGAAGTTATCAACTTTTCGAAAAAGATAAATAAATAGCAAAATGAGATTGTTTTAGAATGTTCTTAGTCCAATTAAATGGGCCTTTAAATTTAAATTGCCTGAATTTTTTATATAAGTTAGTTTGAGGTATACGTATAAATAACAATAAGTGGCAGTAATTTTTTTTTTCAACCCACGACCAGGGGTGACAAAATATAAAATAAAGGGATTTTCAGAGATAGAAAAAAAATTCTTATGATAGTTGTAGAGCACAAAACTCTACATAAAAATGGGCTATTGACTTTTTCATGTACTATTAAAATTAACAGAGTTAGGGTAGCTAGAAGTTAAGGGAAGATTTAAGAAATTTAAAAAATTCATAACCAAAAAAATGAATAAATTTTTTAATTTTTTTTCAATCTACTCTAAAAAATGTAAAGTTTCTTTTCAAAGAAATAGATATATTTTTTAATTTTTAATAAAAAAGTTATAACAATTTCAATTTTTTAAACGTTAATTTTTATGATTTAACACTAAGACAACTTTTTCCATTCATATCATTCGATTGATTATTTAAAATAATCAAAAGTTGCTTTCGAAATTTTGTTTTGCGACTTTTTTTATGAAATAAGTTTGAAATGACTTAAGGATTAAAATAAAATCACAAAATCTGACATTTATCTTAGCGAGTCGTTATTACCCTTCTTATGAAAGATTTTTCTCTAATACCTAAAACTTACATTTACTAACCTTTGAAATTTCAGGATGTCTAGATTTAACTGCCCCTAAGGATTCCGAGCCACAGCAATTTATATCCAATGTAAATGAATTTTTTGACCTTATGTATCGGTTAGACTACCTCCCACCAATATGGAAATTCATCCAAACTCCCACATTTAAACGTTATGTCAAAGTTTTAGACATTATAACTGAGTAAGAACGTATGTATTTTTAATGTGTATCCACTAGGTATCTATTATTTTTTAGCACAACGCGTAAATATGTAGAAGAATCTTTGAACAGGTCTGTTGCGGAAAATATACCAGACGATCAACTCAGTGTGACCCAAAGACTGGCCAAAATGGATAAAAAGATTGCTGTTGTTATGGGCATTGATATGTTGATAGCTGGAATAGACACGGTAATCCTGTTGATTTCTGCACCTTGTTAAATGTACTCATATGGTTGAGTAGATACAAGACCTTTCAAAAGACCTGTGGAATGACCCTCATTTACATTTACAGATGTCACTGAAATATTTTCACCTCTTTTTTTTAGACAGGAAAAACGTTGGCTACCTTGTTGTACTTCCTTGCAAAAAATCCAGACAAACAGCAGTGTCTCCGAGAGGAAGTATTGAAAAATCTTCCGGAAAAAAATTCTCCAGTCACCAAAGAGGCTTTGAATAAATCGCCATATCTTAAAGCAGCAATCAAAGAATCGATGAGGATAGCTCCAATAGCGATAGCAAATGCGAGGACGACCATAAAGGATTTGGTCCTTGGAGGCTATCAAGTTCCAAAGGGTGTAAGTATAACCAATAGATTTTAATCTGACGTACTCTAATGTCTTATCCACATTTGCATTGTATACGTGTAAAAATATTCAGTAACGCTTAACATTTAACGCGTAGGTATATGGATAAAGTATTCCCATTTATTTTCTATTGTTGGATACAGACTGAAATTTTGGTTGCAATTTCAGGCGGTGGATGGGCTCTTACTTTGAAATATGCTTCATATTAACAAATTTTAATAAAAAAAATAAAATAACAGCTTTCAAAACTTATTCTGCAAGAATTCACCATTAAATATTGGTTAAAATATAATGGATGCTTACAACATAAATAAAATAAATATTACGAAATGTATCGTTATGAGATTCAACTAAAATAACAGCCAGTTTCATAGAAACTGGTATTTCCATAATTTTACTAAACCTTAAAGAAGGAAATACTATTCAGCATTTGCAACTTGTCTTGAAATCAAATGGTGAATCGTTCCATTATAAACTCAATATAATTCCATTTCATACACAAGCCCCTAATGGTAGATTTTTTTTCAACTACCGACTAAAGTTATTTGTCGATTCAGACCATCACTTATTTCTGCATGTAATTTTAAATATAATTTTAATATCAAGTAATCTTATTAGGACTAAATATGTTCAAATGTTTTTGTTCTACAAAAATGAAATAATCTTGTTTTTCTTCCGCAGACTGACGTCGTCACCTTGCATCTCCTTAGTTCCAATTCGGATGAAATATTCAAAGATGCTGATAAATTTATTCCTGAGAGGTGGCTTCGAACAACGGAAGACCAATACTCATCTAAAAACGTGCATCCCTTTGCATACATGCCTTTCGGTTTCGGACCTAGGTCATGCATTGGCAAGCGCCTGGCCAATTTGGAATTAGAAGTAGCGACAACGAGGGTGGGTACTATACTTATTCAATTAATAGTTTTGAATTTTTAAATGATATTTTATTAAAATCATCGAAAATGCTTTAAACTGAAAAACACTAGTATAAATTCAGGGCCTGATAGAATTTCAAAAATACTAGAATTTGTTCCTATGAACCATGGACGTATCTCTTTTCGTTTTCAAGATTCAGGGTGTTGAAAATAATTTTTTAGAATCTAGTTTCGGTCCTATCTTCTACAAAATTCGACCGAGTGATCGTAAATTTTGTTATGTATGGTTTCTGGGGATGCTAAATGCTCTGGAGCTATTAATTTTGGACTATATCATACAGAGCGTTCAGTGCAGTACTCCACGGGAACATTTTAGGTCCTAACTTGTTTGAGGTTAATCTTTTTGCCCCTTTTGTGACTTGCTATTATAGCAAATTTTATTCTAAACAAAAAAAGTGCTATTGTAAGAAGTGCTAAAATTTGCCAGTTTTCGAGAAAAACCAGGCATACTGTGCCGAAGTCAGCTAGTGTCCCAAATTGTTGTTTTTTATTTCAAGTAGGCTTGTGTCAAATGTGTCGAATGAGCGTGCTATGTGAATTATCAGAACAAACATTTATTTTAATTCGTGTAATAAGAAATTTCTACTTGTTACGGTATGAGAAACCGCACATAACAAAATTTAAGTTCATTCGGTCGAATTTTGTGGAATATAGGACCGAAACTAGATTGTAAAAAATTATTTTCAACTACCTGTATTTTGAAGACGGAAAAATGGAACAAATGTAATATTTTTTTAAATTCCAACAGGCCCTGAATTTATGCTAGTGTTTTTCAGAACATCCTATATATTACGTGTAAAATTTCACTTTAACATAAGTTTTGTTATTCATAGAGCTGTTTCATATCTTTTTTCAGATTATAAGGAACTTTGAACTGTCATGGCATCACGAAGATATGAAATTTTCCGGAAATTTAATGTATGGAATAACAAAACCTCTTAAACTCAAAGTAAAGGAGCTCTAAAAAAATTGTGTTGAATTATGCGATATTTGTAAGGTAATATATTGTTGTATACAGGACAGACAGAGAAAATTCCCCTGCCTATTTTCTTCATTATTTTTTTAGATGATGTTATAAAATATAGGAAACCTTTCAATATTTGTTGCAAAAAAAATCGACCATTACAAACATACCTACACTGTATATTTTTGCAAATTTGAATTTTTGGGGTCTATCTCCAACAGAAAGGAAAGTAGGATCGAACGACTGGATATAGTGGAACAGGAGAGGATATTTTCCGGTTAACTGTATTTTATCGAACCAATCAGCGATCGCGTTATCTCGAGCGTACGGTTTTTAGTTGACCGTACCAGCCGTGCAATGTTGGTCACGTGACTTATAATCATATATGAAGGGTCTGTATAAGGGTAACCACTAACCTTCCCGAAATATTTTTATTTTGGAATTTATTAATGCTAATTAAGTTAAAAGTATAATATAAGATATTAGGGTATTTGTCAAAATACTTATAGTATATAACTTTATTTTTATATACATGTAAATAAAAATATGTTTTTGTTCTCTATCAGAATGTTTTGGTTTTATGAGATGTTAGATTTAAGTTTTTATATCTATTCGTATACAATAACGCCTTATTGTTATAAAATATTAAATAAATAAATAATATTTTACTATAGTTTTTTTTTATTCACGGAAGATAAAGAATTAGAATATTAAAACGATGGATGAAATATAACTTTATTATTTCATTAAGTCTCGTCACCAGCAATGATGCGTTTCATGACGACTTGGTAGTCAGAAATTGTTTCACATATGTCGGGCCCTAGCCGGCGGGGCCCAGCCAGGACAAAAGGAGGTCCCACAAAGCGCCTACACCGGCCGCATTTGCGGTCGGGGTAGACGACGGATGGGGCCCACCTACGAAGCCTGTCCAGGCCTACACGAGATGAGGCAGGATAAAGAGGGATAATCCCCCTCGATCCCAAATCATTGAGGCCAATTTCTAGCCATGGAATAATGGCGCGGCGCACATATGTCAACCCTGTTCATCCTTAACGCTTTCCCTGCCTTCTTTAAAGTCTTTGTACATCCCCTACAAATCCTAGTACATCCTGATTGGTGTGCACCGTAAATTTCTTCTCGGTTTTTATTTGTGCAAAATTTTTGTTCACTTTTTTGACAAGCTGTCATTTCGTTACGGATAAAAATAATGAGGTGAAATTGTAGGGTCATAAAGGACTCGATGAGACCTTTAAAAAGATGTATGGCACGACCCCTATCCCCTATTCAAATTTGAGGGGTTGTTCTCTCCCCAGCTAGGGGGTTAAAGCTGCGGGGATGAAAAAAACTGAAAAATAGTTCCCTCTCAAATCAAAAGTCGACGTGTCCGAGCGTTTTCCCAGATTTATATTTTAAACCAAAAAAATCGGGGTGGAAAGTTTCCATTGGCCCACCCTGTATATTGTACATAAGCACAAATGACCCGAATAACTGTTACTTAGGATGGGGTAATAAAAGTATGTACCTGGAGAGAAGGATAAAAACCGAAAATATTCGAGGTACGAACAAGAAGTCTTGAAGCCTAGCTCTTGCTCGGTTGTGTCCCGTGTTACCAGCGAAATTAGTAGAATAAAATTTTCCATACTACTTAGAGTTTTTTTCCTCCTTTGAAGTCCAAACCACTACAAGTTACTAGCATCTCCGCGGACACTTGCATCTGTCAAGTTTTTTCTTTAAAAAAAATCTCAAAATCTATAACTCCTAGGTATAGGGAATATTTAGTAGAGTGACCCTCAAATTTCACGTAGAGTCCAAAACTGCAATAATATATAGGGTGTTGCATTTAAAATAACGAAGATGACGTCAACTTATAACCGGAAGCGTTAGGTAGACGCTATTATTTTAGTTTAAAATATAGATTTACAACAAAAATGAACCACAATACCAAATATTTTAACACAATCTACAATGTAATTTGAGAAAAAATTCTAACAAAGCATTACTATAGCATCATGCATCCCAGTCTTATTCTCCTGTACTGTAAGTGTTCGACGTGAATCGCCAGACGGGGATCCACAATCTCATTTGCCGGTAATTCAAAACAATAATCTGATTCCTAATGCAAAACCGGCTGCGCCCGGCAGGTTATTTAAACTTGGCGACTCGGGGGAAATTAGAGAAAACCTCGAATCGAATTTGTCGAATACGTACGCAACGAGAATCGCAAACATATCATTGTCATAATATAATAATATTCTGCGCACGGTCCACTAAAACAAATTCATGCATAATTATTTCACACACGCCGTCGCGTCTCACTCCGCGTAATGACATGCACATTCGTGTCTAATTTACTATTTTATTATGCAACACTCGTGTAATTCTATCGATTGCCGTAATGAACAATCAGACTTTTCAACGCTGATTAGGTATTGTGCGGCGCTGGTTTACCGAACATCAGGTACCTATTTTCTTTTTATATCCGTTGTGGTATCTTTTCCTCTTATTGCTTTGGGACCTCTGAATAAGTAAAGGCGGCTTCAAGATACTGAAAAGCAACTAATGCGACTGAATTCGACACGCACCAACCGTAGATTTCTGCTCTGGTTGCAGAACTGTATTACCAGAGTCGACGTTCGATCCCACTTTATGGTGGCTCTACCAATTCTCGGGCATTGATCTTCGGTTTGGATTTTCACATCTGGGCCCTGCGGATTCAGGCGACTGATAGTTGTTGAATTCTCCATCGTAAAATCTTGCTGTTATTTTGGATTTATACAAGGCAACTGATTACATAGACCAACAAAATTTAACTTTTGCTGCACTTTTTATTTGAAAATCACTAATTTAGAAAATAATAATTCAAAACCAGCAAAATTGCAACTTTTATGTAGCTTTATTTATAAACACCTAAGAAACGACAAAATCCAAACAACCAAGACGACTTTGCAAGATTTTGAATAATATCAAAATAAATTGATTAAGAAATGTCAAAAAAAGACCCTAATCTTTATTTCATGAACCATAAAGAACTGTGGAAGCAGATAAAATGTTATACACCACGCAGCAGTTAAGTATAATTTACCAGTCTCGGACTCTGTTGCCAGCGCTCGTTCCGCTCAAAATCGTCCTCGACTGGTAAATAATACTTACCTCCTTTATGGTGTAAATAACTATAATGTAATCTACAGTAGTCTTCCCTTGTCTCTCAATCTTTTGTGTAACTACTTAATTTGAAACACTGTTTTTATTTGGTAAGCAAAAGACTAGTATTTACGGTTTAAAAATATTCTGGGAATGTTAGAAAATAAAGGACTGAAAATATTTTCATATTAAAAATAATCATAGTCCGGAATAGCACCTTGCGGAAAACACTCTGGGCCGGTGTTCCGCACCAGCCTCCTTTGAATCTCCCACTGCGATGAAATTCTGCTCGAATAATTACATCCAGAGCATCATTGCATTCCTCCGTCTCGGCCTTTGGAGATCCCACTTTTAAAACGTACCGAATATGAACAGCCAGCTGGGATTTTATAATTTATAATTGCTTGCCGACAAGTTCATATTATTTTGTATTAGCGCAAAGCTTTTGCAGCTCGAAAGTTCAGATTCAGATATAGGATTTTAGTTCGGTAATTGCTTATTAACCTCCTGGGCTTATTACGCCAACTTTTAGCACGTACCTTTGTAAACAGTTCGTTTCAATTTTACTGCGGAAATTGAACGGTTCTGCAACAGGAGTAACATCTGGAAAGGACTTTTTGGTTGGATTTTGCAGAACGGAATCCGTGTAATAAGCTCCAACAAAAAGNGAATATCAAAATAAATTGATTAAGAAATGTCAAAAAAAGACCCTAATCTTTATTTCATGAACCATAAAGAACTGTGGAAGCAGATAAAATGTTATACACCACGCAGCAGTTAAGTATAATTTACCAGTCTCGGACTCTGTTGCCAGCGCTCGTTCCGCTCAAAATCGTCCTCGACTGGTAAATAATACTTACCTCCTTTATGGTGTAAATAACTAATGTAATCTACAGTAATCTTCCCTTGTCCCTCAATATTTTATGTAACTACTTAATTTGAAACACTGTTTTTATTTGGTAAGCAAAAGACTAGTATTTACGGTTTAAAAATATTCTGGGAATGTTAGAAAATAAAGGACTGAAAATATTTTCATATTAAAAATAATCATAGTCCGGAATAGCACCTTGCGGAAAACACTCTGGGCCGGTGTTCCGCACCAGCCTCCTTTGAATCTCCCACTGCGATGAAATTCTGCTCGAATAATTACATCCAGAGCATCATTGCATTCCTCCGTCTCGGCCTTTGGAGATCCCACTTTTAAAACGTACCGAATATGAACAGCCAGCTGGGATTTTATAATTTATAATTGCTTGCCGACAAGTTCATATTATTTTGTATTAGCGCAAAGCTTTTGCAGCTCGAAAGTTCAGATTCAGATATAGGATTTTAGTTCGGTAATTGCTTATTAACCTCCTGGGCTTATTACGCCAACTTTTAGCACGTACCTTTGTAAACAGTTCGTTTCAATTTTACTGCGGAAATTGAACGGTTCTGCAACAGGAGTAACATCTGGAAAGGACTTTTTGGTTGGATTTTGCAGAACGGAATCCGTGTAATAAGCTCCCACAAAAAGAGCTCTGTAAGTGACTTTATTAAAGCAATTATCTTCAGTTAGTTGTTCGCTGCTTTGAAAACGGTTGTTGATATGGCTTACAAAAAACGTTAAATCATATTTAATCTCTTAAAATTGAAAACTGTAGTGAACTGCAAAATCTTTTCAGAGTGTTAAAAGTTAATTTATTAATTTGACTGTGTCAGTCATAACATCCTACTGAAAAAACTGTCTTATTATGGCTTTGAGAACTCGAGCATTTCTTTGGTGGAGTCATTTCTAACAAATAGACTTCAATATGTTTATCTTAATGGCAAGAATTCTGATAAAATGGCCATCAAGTATGGTGTCCCACAGGGATCCGTATTGGGACCTGTGCTGTTCCTTATATACATAAACGATTTGCCAAATAGTGATAATCACTGTAAATTTATTCCCTTCGCAGATGACACGACAGTTATAAACACTGAAAATAATTACGATAGTTTGAAAGAAAACGTTTTAACATCTCACCATAGTATCAGACAGTGGTTTAGTGCAAACAGATTATTCCTAAACAATGACAAAACATCGTCAGTTCTGTTCTCATTACGCTACGTGGGGGATGAGATGGCTAATTACACCCCTCAGGCCAAGTTTCTTGGGGTTTGTATTGACCAGAGGATGACTTGGGAGGCCCACGTCACTGAGCTTTCCAAGAAACTATCTAGAATCATTTTTCTTATAAGAAGTCTTTCCGATTCTGTCTCGACGGAACTTTATTGACAGCCTACTACGCAGTTTTTCATTCTAATATGATTTACTCAATACTTAATTGGGGTCACTCCTGCCATGCAGAAAAAATTTTTAGTCTACAACGAAGGTGTATACGAATCATTGCCGGGCTTCAGTATAGAGCTGACTGTAGGAAGCAGTTTGTTAGATACGGCGTTCTCACTCTGCCTTGTGTATTTATTCTTGAATGCCTTGTTTTCATTAGAGAACATCTGATCAGTTTTGAGTCAAACAATTCATTTCATGAATATTCAACCA